GAAGCGTAGAGTGCATTTGTACCTGGGACATTGATCACGGACAATGTCATTACCGCTTTTGGGATAATTCATTATTTCCAACAATGGAGGGTAGGTCAAAAGGGTACTCTGCTTTAAAGCTTGATATGAGCAAAGTTTACGGTGAAAAAGTAGATTATTTAGCAATATGGAAAGGATGGGATTTCGATCGTATGGATTGATTGCCAGAAGAAGTGTGTGTGTACGGTCTCTTATTCAGTTGTTCTTAATGGGCTAGTAGGAGACAATTTTGAAATGCAACGGGGTTTAAGGCAGCGTGACCATCTAAGCCCTTACCTCTTTCTTATTCGCTTTGTTTCATTAGGCTGCTAAGTTAAATAACTTCCAGGGGGTTAGAATGAATCGTTATACACCCATAATTTCTCTTCTGTTATTTGCTGACGACTATCTTATCTTTAGAGAGTCAAATGCTTGATTGTCTGACTATTATGGTTAAGGAGATATTGCGTATGTATGAAGTAAGCTTTGGTCAGATGATACATTTTGGCATGTCTAGTCTCTTTTTTGGCTCGAACATGGTTGAGGAAAATATATGTGATGTTTGTATATCCTTGGAGTAACTAATACCTCAAGTCTGGAGAAGTATATGGGATTACCGACTATTGTAGGTTGGAATAAGAAGGGTGTTTTCATTCACATGAAAGACAAACTTTACAGTTGGATCCATAATTGGTGTACTCGTGCACTTTCTCAAGAGGCGAAAGAGGTTTACATCAAATTTGTCCTTCAATTTATTCCGTTATTTGCTATGAATTGGTTTTTGCTGCCTAAAAGACTTGGTATGGATCTGAATGTGATTATGGCTTGGTTCTGATGACAGAAATCTGAGAACCAGAGGGTATCCACAGTTGCACTTGGGAGAACTTATGTAGTCTAAAGGCAGATGGGGATTTGGATTTTCAGGACATGAAAAATTTTAATATTTTTTTTGGCAAAACATGGGTGGCAGCTTATCATTAACCCAACTTTGTCAGTTAGCAGACTGTTGCATGCAAAGTACTACTCTACCGGAGATTTTTTGAGTTCGATAGTGGGAGCTTCGTCGCCTTACATTTGGCGTATCTTGTGGAGCGATAAAGGCCTCCTTATGGATAGTGGGCTCGGGAACAACCATTTCCATTTGGAATGAGTTTTGATTACCATTGAATATCCCACGCCGAGTTGAATTTGATAGAATTGAGTCTGTAGAGTATGTTGTAGATATAATTGACGTTGATACAAGGTTTTAGAAGGTTGAGGTGATTATGGATCTCTTTCGAGAAGAGGAAGTAGATTTAATACTAGATATACCTCTCTCCAGTTTTATCCAAAAGATTGTTATGTTTGGAGTGACGAGAAATCGTACGTTTATAGCATGAGAAGTGTTTATCGGTTATTATTGGGGAGAGTGAAATCTTCACAAACTGTTAACGCTGTGTTAAATGACATATAGACTTGTGCTTGTCAACGAAAAATTAAAATTCAGGTTTAAAAGTTCACTTAAAATTTCATTCCCTCCATGCAGAATCTATACTTGAAACACAGCTAATAACCCTCTTTGCTCACAGTGTGTAAATATATTTGAATCAGGTGTCCATATTATTAGTGATTGTAAGTTGGCTAGTTTAGTGTGGTTGCGTATGAATTACCATTGGCCTACTGATGTTTCTGATACAAATCTAATTGATTGGTTGAGTTGTCTTTTTCTCAATATTCATCAATCAAGCATACTGAAATTCTAGTAATTAGCTCTATTACGAGGGTAAGCAAATGCAAGCAGGTGATATTGTTACCTTTATCCGTTCAATATGATTAGAGTTTGATTATGTCAAGGCTAGTCTTTAGAGTCAAGTCTCCAACGCTCTTGTTCGGTGGAAACTGTTTGTTTCCTCGCATGTAAAAGTAAACTTCGATGCTCGGTATTTACAATCACAACAAAAATCTTGGTCAAGAATCATTTTTCGGGATCATGAATGACGTATTTTGGTTGCATGTCAAAGAGGGGTTTTGAGATTTACCTCAACTTTCATGGCAGAGGCCACGCCGACGGTGCATGTTGTTCAGTTTGTTGTGGATTTGGGTCTTTGGCATTTCATTTTTGAAGGCAATGCGATAGTGGTTGTTGAGAAGCTCGCTTCCTCGAAACAAGATCTATATGAGATCAGTGCTCTGATCTGGGAAGCACGCCTTAATGTTGAAGTCTTTAGTGCATGTGTTTTCTAATTTACTCCTCGGATGTGGAATGTTGTCGCCCATTTGATTGTAGCTGACAAGGACCATGGCTCGACTGACCGTTTATGGGTTGAAGAGGCTTCGTCGTAGATGGAGCGGCATGTAGCAGAGGATAGAAGATTGATTGATCCTCCTTGTGTTTCCTCTTGAAATCACATCTGCTCGTTAAGCTCGATTTTTGTTTTTCCTCATTGTTGTTTCTCGATTCACTGCCCTTATCTGCTCTAAGCAAGGAAGATGAAAGGCCAACATTTTTTTTCTCTTTATGTTTTAGTTTCTAGTGATTGTTTGGGTGTTCTTTTCTTTCTTTTATTGTTTCGTCTCCTATTACAATAAGTGGGATTTATTGTCTTTAGGTGTGTTACACAGGGACAAAATTATGAGTTTTCTAATTGTTAATAAAATAGGTTGTCTTTTCACGTTAAAAAAAAGTACAAAATTTAAATTAATTGAGACTTATAATTTTTAGAATATTCGAAATTTATTATGTTTTCTAATTAACTTTTTGTAAGTATTGACTAATTTAAAAGATAATTATACAATAAGTTTCAATATAAAATATAATTAGAATACTTTGTATGAGTGTTGATGATATGTCTATATCTTATATGTATATATTATGAATAAGATCTTTTTGAAAATATTTTTTAAAATTTTTAATAATTTATAACTTATCATTTTATAACATATGATATATATTTAAAAATTATTCTTTTATAATATTTTTAGTATTTTTTAATATGAATATTTATTTTTTTAATAATTTAATTTTTTATTTTTAATAAGTTTTATATTTATTTTTTTAATACTTAGATAATTTTATATTTAGAATTTAAAATAGTTTGTATATTTTAAAAAAAATCCTTGAACTTTAGAAAAAATCAATTTGATCATCGAACAAAATAAAAAACAACAATTTAACTCATCAATCAAGTCATCTTCCATGTCATCAACCATCATGGACCGCCACGTCAGTATTGTGGACTGTCATGTCAGCACCGTAAAGGTCAACGATGAAAAACATTGATAAAAAAGTTATATTAGGTTTGTTTTTTGAGTTGGAGGGTTATATTAAAAGAAAAAATAATACGAGATTTCAATTGAATTTTTTTTTAGAATACAATGCCTCTTATGCCTTTTTACCAAAACTTTTTTATTAAGATAAGTATTTAACGTTGTTGAAGTTACTATATTTCTTAATTTTAATAAAATTGGTTGTTTTTATTAAAAAATGTATTTATATGTAAGATATGCCTTCTTTCTAAGAGTCAAATATTGGAGAAAATGTGATTCTTGTTTTTTATTTTGAATGATTTCTTAAGATTGGCACTCGAAAAACTGTGAGATTGATGGATCTATTCTATCGAGTTATTTGATCTATCGGGTTATTTGAAGATGCAAGGTAGATTCAAAAGAATTAGTTTATTTGTGTTATTTATAATATTCGTTATATTATTATTTTCGTAATATTATTAATGATATTCTTTTTTTATTTTTATTATATATTATTCTATAGAATTCTATTCTAATAAAATATATATAGCACTTAGCATTCATACAATATAATATAGATTAATTTGAATTCTTATTGAGGCTTTTTCTTCCTAAATTATATATTTATTTCAAGAAAAAATAATGTTGTTACTTTTTCTCCTATTTTATTCACTGTATTTTTAAATTTTTTAATTTGTTTATTGAACTTTACAGATTGAATTATTTTGCTAACTCTGTCGTTATTTCTCTAACGTTATGACTACATGTCATTTATTATTATTATTTAATATAAAATAATTGAAAATGTAAAGGGTAATACATTGTTCCTCACTGAACTTATTATCTCTCCTATTTTGTTCATTTAACTATAAAATAAAATAAAATGTGATCGGATGCCACCGTCGGTCACCGTTGACAGCTGTAGATGGTGGTCGTTCGATCCCAAATTTCATGGGTTACTTCGCCTCCACACCTTGAGTCAAATCCGACCTCTATTTTATCGAAACTTGCTCTGGAGTCCACAAATTGAAGATTGAAAGTGAAGAAGCCAAAACGTTTTAGTCGAGATTCATGGATTTTGGGACATTTTCTAGTGATACAACCATCAAATTCAGACTCAGGGGTTGAGACGAGCTGACCCATGAATTTTGAGGCTGAATAGCCACCATCAACGACGATAAACGGTGGCCAGAATGAAAAATGACGTAGTGATCGTCGACAACAACCGATCACTTTATTTGCAAAATATGTAAAATGTGAAGAAATAAGAGAATTTGAGATGCCATTTTTGTGTATATTTGAGTTTTTTAAATTTACGTCGTTTTAATACTTGTTTCATGTCACAACACTGTTAAAAAGTTAACAACAGAGACAATAATATGATTCAATTTATAAAGTTCAATAAGTAAATTGAAAAATATATATAAGTACGATGGATACAATAAGAGATAAATAAAATTAAGTGAGAACGTTATAATTCACCCATTACAGAATTACGCATTGTGCTACTTACTATCGGGGTGTGTGTGTAATGTAACAGTATAAAGACACAAAGGAGAAAACCCTAAATACTAAATCCCAAAGACAAACCAAATTCCCTCTTCTTTCTCTTTCCAAACCCCCCAAAATCTATGTGTGTGTTGGGGCTGCCGCAGGCACGTCGGTTTCCTCATTTCTCCTCTTCTAGTTGTTGCAATTATTATTCACAAAAGGAGAGAATTGAAAATTAAGAGATATTTCTTTGCATATCTGATCAAACTGTTTTCCTTTTATTTATGTTTCTGATCTTCTGAGTTTGACAAGTCTGAAATTTTGGAACAAAATTTTATATATTACAGTGAAAAGTAAAGTAGTAATAATGTCGATAACTGGATCTTGAATTGCAGAAGAAAAATTACAGGGTGTTTGGGAACATGGTGGTGGTTGTTCCGAAGGAGCTTGACGAACTCGAAAAGCCTATTTCTTTGCATTCTTCCAAGCCTTTTGAGATACGATTTCAAATTCCCGATTTGAGAGCTACAATTAGAGTGAGCTTCTTTTTCCCTTTACTTTTTCTTTTCCCGCCTTTTTATAGTGTTCTTGCTCTAAGCCTATGCTCTGTTCGGGTGCCGAGAAAATAAAGTTTAAGAAAACTTTTTTTTTTTGGAATCCCACTTCTTTCAAGGCAAAAGTTGCGGTATAAAACATGTTTTTCTGCCTCATATTATTTTCTATTTGCTATGTTAAAAATGTTGGCTGCTAAGAGATACTGAGAAAAATTTCACACCGAACAAAAGATATGAAAGAAATCATCCCTCTTATGAAAATGGTTATTTTGGCTATTTTTCATCGAATCTTTCTGTAAAATTTCAATTTGCTGTGGCGGTCTCAAAGATTTTATGGACATCAGAATTATATTGTTCCAAATGAAAGAAAAAATATTGTTGGAAAATTATATTTGTTTTTTATTTTTATTTTTATGGATATTTATGATCCAATTCTTTACAATGGGCCTAAGATGGTTACCCGCATTAGAGTTAGGTTGAGTTATGAGAAATCTTTTTATGTAATTCATTGATTTTTTTTTCTAAACTTCCATTTGCCGGCAGCAGTAGAATTGATTTTATGGAAATAAAAGAGATCTTAAGATTAAAAGTTCATTATTTCAATTAACTGTTTTCCTTTTGTTTTTGAATCCTTTTGATTGTATGTATAAGGGCCAACTGATTGTTGTTGATATTACAAATGCATGCTCTGATTGTGATTCAGGATTTCTTGAGGAGTAGGGAAGTTGGTGAGTTTCTTAGTGGAGCTTTAGCAGGGGCTATGACTAAAGCTGTTCTTGCTCCTTTAGAAACTATCAGGTTGGCAGACACTTTGTGTTATATGGTTTCATTTTTAGTTTTCTGAGTTCTTGTCTTTACCAATTACCATTATATCTAAAATTTATGTTTCTTTATCCAGGTGTTTGGTAAGTGTAATTATTTTTTCAATAAGCCTGAAATCTGTAAAATGATATGGAAACTTACCTAGAAAATCTTGAACTATGGCTGACAAACTTTTGTCAACTCGTGGAACAGTCGGTTACTTATTGTAATGATTCTTGTGGACGTCTTATTTCTTTCCTTGTAGTGCAGTGTGGTCCACTTCTTCCTCCTGTGAGTTTCAAGTTTCCTAGTGTTTTATAGGATTGAATGTGGGCACCATTAGTTTTTTTTCTAGGGTATACTAAATTGTTGACCTGCAAAGTTTTGGATATCAAGTCATTCTTGAAATCATAGAACACAGAGAAATATCTTATTCGTGATCCTTTTTGCCGTAAATCATTATCATGTGTTTGTCACCAGTTTATTGCACCTTAAACTTCTGAATAGTCATGTTAAGACACAGAGAAATATTTGTTCAACTCATAACGTCTGAGTTCTGACTTGCAGGACCAGAATGGTGGTTGGGGTTGGATCCAAAAACATAATTGGTAGTTTTGTTGAGATCACTGATCAGCAAGGTTGGCAAGGACTGTGGGCTGGAAATGGAATCAACATGATTAGAATAATTCCCACCCAAGCCATTGAGCTTGCAACATTTGAGTGTGTCAAGCGTGCAATGACATCAGCACAGGAAAAATGGAGTGAGATTGAAAGCCCACAATTGCAAATTGGCTCTTTGAACGTTAACTTTTCTCTTTCCTGGATTTCTCCAACTGCTGTGGCCGGTGCAGCTGCTGGAATTGCTAGCACACTTGCATGTCATCCTCTTGAAGTTCTCAAGGTATGTGATATATCATGAATGGATTATCTTTCTTCTTTTTTCCCTGATTAAGAAAAAAAAGAACATTCCACATCGTGATGAATTGTTTCTTTAGTTTTTGTTTTTTGATACTAGTTACAGATGAAGTGCAACTAAGAGTATGGATTGTATAATGATGACATCCAACTCATCATTTTTATTAATGCCTCATTGACCTCGTAGTATCTCACTTTTGTGAGCACTGAGCAGTGGTTAAATTAGTTGATAGCTCATCTTAATGTTGTTTAGACACTTGGGAAAATAATTAATCTGAATCTGATTATGTTGAAATTACTATAGAGTTTCTCATTTTTTGCTTTTGCTTATGGAGCTGAATGTTCCCCTTGTAATTCTTACAGGATAGGCTGACTGTCAGTCCTGACACATACCCTAGCTTAAGCATTGCAATCAGCAAGATTTACAAGGATGGTGGTGTCGGTGCCCTTTATGCTGGTCTTTCTCCAACTCTAATGGGCATGCTTCCATATAGTACTTGTTACTATTTCATGTATGACAAATTAAAGACATCCTACTGCCAATCAAAGAATAAAAAATCTCTAAATCGTCCAGAGATGCTTGTACTTGGAGCTCTTGCAGGTGAGTCTTGGCCCAAACTGTTTGCTTTATTAAATGGGGTTTCCCATATATCATTGATAAACCTTTGTTTTTGTTTTCTCAAAACACACACACACACAGCCTTTTTACCCTTCCTATTTGTTGTTTTGAACATTTGCATCAATGCTTAAAAAATAAACTGGTTCAATTGAAATGGCCAGGTTTTACTGCTAGCACCATAAGCTTTCCATTGGAAGTAGCCAGAAAACGGCTAATGGTGGGAGCTTTACAGGGCAAGTGTCCACCAAACATGGTAGCAGCACTTGCTGAAGTAATCCGGGATGAGGGCTTAACGGGTCTTTACAGAGGGTGGGGTGCTAGCTGTTTAAAAGTAATGCCCTCCTCTGGTATCACCTGGATGTTTTATGAAGCTTGGAAAGATGTATTGCTTGTTGAGAGACGCATATTATGATGGCTCTAGAAAAGAAAAACTCTTCCGGTAGCTGTTACTAGTTGAAGTTCCTCTCTTTAAAGTGCAAAAGAATGCTGTGCTAGCATGGTAGTAGTTTCAGGGTTGTTTATGGGAGCTCCACATGATGGTATTTAATAGTATCAGGATCCATATACAGGTATGACTAAACCTATCAATGTCTATATTTAAAAAAAATTGTTCTTCCCAATTATCAAGTGAGCTTCAATTTTGTTCGGCTTGACATGTACCAACAGATTTCTTATACATCACATGAGATTTTGACCAATTTGGTCTCTATATTTACCAATCTCTTGTTTGAATTGGGATAATTTAGCAATACCCATATTTTTCCTAGAGATGATTTTTTCCATCAAAAACTGTTGATCTTTGAAACCTGATATTGCATTGCAATGGCCGTCTGGGAAGTGGCACGGTTGTGGTGTTAATGGCATTGACATTTTGTTCTGTGTGAAACATGAGATTCTTCCTGCAATTGTCAATGATATTTTGAGCTTATAATTATTGATTCTAATTAGAATTGTTGATATAATCGGGCGTCCTAAGTTAAAAAGGGGAGAAAAATCTTCCTGCAATTTATTGGTAAAATATTAACAAGAATTATCGTGTCAACAAATCATCAAGCATAAAACGGTTCTGGAGTTTGTACTTCTCATTGATATATTGACGTTGGACTTACAGGGACCATCAGTGCTACAAATGTGCTAAAACTGGCAAAACCAAAAAGTTGGAATTACATTCTCGTAGATTACATTCATTTTATGGACGGAAAATAATGAACTAAAGATCAGTAATACATCTTACAGTCTTGGCCAAAGTATAGCAAAAATCAGTAATGCATCTAACAGTCTCTGCCAAAGTACAGAAAAATCAGTAATACATCTTACAGTCTTGGCCAAATTATAGCAACGATATACAACAAGGCTAGGTATAAAGCTAAAACAAAGTTTGGAAACTTCAACTTGCTTTCCCGTATGTTCAAACTGCACTTGCAATTACATATATCGTCTTCAACAGTGGTGCCATTTCTTTGCCTCTGTAACTGGGGAATGCATGTTCTGATTGACTGCGAGTTTTCCACAAGCATGTAAAGGCAGAACAAGCATAATCCTATTTAAGAAACACAGATTTTTTTTAAATTTTCCATAAATCTCAGAAGGATATAGAATTGAGGAAAAACATAGAAGAAAAAAAACCATTTTATCAAGCATGCTAAAATTTCTGGTTGTTAAAATTTAATACATAAAAAGCAAGTGTTCTTTGTTGTAAAAAATAGCAAATCATTTTTTGCATATTCCCAAATCCTGTCGAGGGGAAGTCAATGACATCTAAATAGTATTGATAATACGGTGATTGCTCCAAAGTGTTCTATATGAAATACCCAAGTGCATAAAATAATCAATGGTGCTTGAATGAGCAAAAGAAACTTGACAGGAACTCAAGACAAATAGAGTGTGCTTCATTCAACATTAACCAGTTCAAAGATATGTCACGTTTTAGCTACAAATATTAAAGATGCAATTGATTTCAACAACAAAAAATGGGAGTTAATGGCAAGCATACCTGCATAAGCAACTGTAGCACCAGAGACCAATCATCCAATGGCTGATAGTATGTAAAGACAAACGACGACCTGAAGGTAGACATGCATCGGATTAATAACCATGCAAGAAAAAAATCACAAGATAATTGCAGTACGATTTTGACATAATAAGTTTCAAAAGGCATCAAAGCAATAAGCAATTCACCAAACAAGAGAAAAACAGTTGGCCAGGGTTCCAAGGAGAAGGGTGGGTCTTGGAGGTTAGATGAATCAAGCCCTTTGAGATGTATATTCAAAGGATATCAACTAAAGCAGAAGAATGAGGATCTAATTAGCAAAAAGTAGCAAATTTTATGGTGAATAGTTATTTAAAGTTGCAACAGTTCACCCCCAAAAAATAGTCTTTTGTCGTGTCCAGTTGCTGCAACCCTTAAAACTGACTCAGCTGCCCCAACAGTATTCGCTAACCATGCAAAAATGCTAGTAGCGGCATCCTGTGATATCTGCCACTCAAGTGGATCTACTGGAATCCTATAGAACATCTTTTGCATTATGAAAGTGAAACGATTGAAGGCTTCAAGCATAAAATTCATTACTAGAATGAAAAAGCAAAATCATATGAATGCCATCAGACAAGTCACATTGCATATATGCACATAAGATACCGTAAACACACAATTTGATCAACACTGGACTAAATTTAATAGTTCAAGTGAAGCAGAACAATCAGACGAAATAGAAAAAAATAAAAAAATAAAATAGAAGCCGTGAGGAAAGGGGAAAGAAATATAGGAAATACATGACAATATTAGATGAATGGGGGGAAAAGGAACACCAAAACTGGAGGTGGATTTCAACGCAAATCAAAATCTAACCATAATTCAAACCTATTACAAACAGAAACATCTTCAGCACAATTGGAGCCTAATACAAAACGCAGTTAACTCTAAAGCCCTGATAATTCACTAGATATGGTGAAAGTTAAGATTGGATCGAAAAAATACTTTCAAAAAACATCCAAAATGCTATATTATGTTCTTATCAAACAAAAAAAAATCAATAATTAACATATTGATAAGCACTCATAATTTCTGCTGTAACCATGATTAACTAAACCTAAATCAAGGAGACTACTGCAGTCACAAAATAAGAATCTTACTTTATTGTAAATTTAAAAAAAAACAGAAAATTGGTCTTCACAGGAAAAGAGTTCAACATCAATCCTAAACAAGCAATACCATAAATAAACTAAAACCCCAACAAATAAAAATGATAATTTGAAAGAAACCCAGAGGTGTACAAGAGAAGAAAGCGTACGAGATGTTCATTTGACGAAAGAGGAGGCCGAGAATAGCAAGATAGCAAAGGAGAACGATTTAATACATCGGAGAAGAGAGAGAGAATTGTTGAATTACGGTAGGCACAGTGGCAATACACCAAGGTACCACATATCAGCAATCCCAATGCTTTCCCCACTTCGCTCCTCCCTTCGCCTTCCATCGTCTCTTCTTGGAATCTTAAACGCCTTGACCCAATTTATTTTACGGTAAAGTACATAAATAGTCCCCAAATGTTTAGGGACATTGCATTTTGTTAATCAACTTTTAAAACTTTAAATACAGTCACCGAACTTTTAGTTCATTTTCAGTACGGTTTCTAACATTATCTCCCGTTAATAATTATTCTCTTCTCCTCCTTCTAAACAAGTATTCAACATTACATTCATATAAAGAAGATGGGCCATGGCTACTACCTAGCAAGCTGCCTTCACTGGCCTTGTTTTGCAGTGACTTGTGGATGTATTTTACTGACAAAATCTTCAGAAGAAATAAGATTTAAAGTTGTACGAACCTACAATAAAGATTTTCACGATGGAAAAACGTTATATAACGAGTTGGAAGTTGTTGAGGGCATGCTCATTTCTCCTTTGACAGAACTAGAGAATCTCTTGAGTCTCGAGTTTTGATCAAGTTATGATGTTGCTTATTCAATTCATTGTGTTATGGCAGGAATTAGATGATCCTCTTATCCTAATTCACGAGAAGAACATATCCAGCTTGAATGCTGTTGTAAAAGTACTAGAGTTAGCTTTAAAGGTAAACATATTTTTAACAGATCATTCATACACCCTTTTGATTAATCATCATTCATTTAGATGTTTTTCTCATTGAGACTATTGAAATTAAATTTCCTTCATAACATTAATATCTTCTATGCTATATTTGTTCAGAGGCAGAGGCCGTTGCTGATCATAGCTGAAGATGTAGAGAGTGAAGCACTTGCTACACTCATTCTTAACAAGTTTCGTGATGGAATTAAGGTTTGATTTCCAGTCAGATATGGTTTCATGTGTTAATTCTCCTCTTTTTAGGAATTCTTGTGAACATAAATGTATTAATTATGGTGCAGGTCTGTGCCATCAAAGTCCCTGATTTTGGAGAAAACATGAAGGCTATTCTGCATGAGCTTGCTGTCCTCACATGAGGAGAGGTAGGGGCGGAACTAAAAATTTATTATAATCAGGTTAAATTATATTTTATTTTTCATAAATAAAAATTCTTTTAATTGAAGAGGATATGACATTTTTAATATATATATATTTAATATTAATTAATATTTTAAAAAATAATTAGTGGGGCCAAAACTCTCCTTGACCCCATGATGTTCCGCCACTGAGGAGAGGTAGGGCAATTTCATCTTTCACCTATATGATAGTAACTTGTTCATTGTGTATAGTTGCTCTGACATAAATTTTCATAACCTCTTGATGATGTTATCGATTACTTCTCGTGTGTAGGTTATAACAGAAGAAGAAGGATTAACGGAAGGTGACATGTCACGCCAAATAAAATTAATGAGAGGTAACATTAGGAGCCGTATTGAAATAAGATTAAAAGTTTGGTGACTGTATTGTAAGTTTTAAAAGTTGGGTGACCAAAATGAAACCGTGATCTATAAGAACAACAATGATTCTTTTAACAGCTGAGGTAAGTTGGTTCGGGTTATTATTTAAATATTTCAAGTATGATATAAATTTAAGGGTAAAGTATAGTAATGGTCACTGAACTTTTCTAAAGCTTTCATTTAGGTCCCTCAATTTTTAAAACTTGTAATACAGTCCCCCAACATTTAGTATGTTTGCAATATGGTTCCCAACAGTTACGTCGGGGACCATATTGCAAACGGACTAAATATTGGGGGGACTGTATTGTAAGTTTTAAAAGTTGAGGGACCTAAATGAAAGCTTTAGAAAAGTTCAATGATCATTACTATAATTTACCCTAAAAATTTATGTATCGTCAATAAAATTTATAAAAAAAATTAAATTAATGTTATTTTTAAAAACATATTATCATATTGACTAATAACATATAAAATTATACGAATAGAATCGAATATGACTGCTATATATGAGAGGGCTATGTATATACGAGTGGTGCGTAGTGTGTGTAAAGTATATGACTAGTGCTGTGTTGTGTCCTGACCAAATGCCATGTTTGGAAAGAGTTTGGGTCTCTGAGTTCTCTGTAATGCTTTAAACTCACAAAGCATTTTATTCCCTTTCAAGGAAAACCCATCATACCATTCCTCCCGCCCGACATTGCCGGGGACATGCAAACTAATACCATCCCCCCCCCGACATTAACGGGAATCAGATTACGGGGGAAAAAGCATCCAATAACTCACAAACCCTAATTACATACAACATCAACCCGAATATTCAT